AAGTGGCGCGCTCCTCGTCGGTGAAGACGCGGTAGGGAGCGATCGAAGGGTCCCAGGCAACAATGTCGTTGGGGACGACAATGTCCTTGAAGCCATACTCCTCAGCAACCTCGCGGCACTTGTAGCCCTCACCACCGACAACAAGGACGGTGTTGTAGTACTCGGCCAAGGCGCGCATGGGGGTGTGCGACTGGATGAACTGGTCGGTGCTGATGGGGTTCTGGAGGATCTTGGAGAGCTGCTCGGTACGGGCAAGCTCGGGCTTACCAGAGCCGTTGGTAAGGAAGATGTGGGGAATCTTGATGCCAAGCTCGTTATCGCCGTTGAGCATGTCCAAGACCTTCTTGCCCTCAGGGATCAAACGATCACCGTGGACAAGGACACCATCAATGTCGAAGACAAAGCTCATGTTCTTGACCTTCTCGACCTTCTCAGAGTGGATGTCCTGAACACGGTCGGCCAAGAACTCGCGCGTAGGCTTGAGAGGAAGGGTGCCGCCGCTGGCTTCCTGGAGAGCCTCGGCGACGCCGCCGGGGAAAGTGACGCTGCTGAGACGAGACTGGCGCTTGGAACGGGGGATGGGAAGCGAAGCGCCGAACGAGTTGCGGGAGAGTCTGCGCTCCTTCAAGGATGGGGAAGCGGAAAGGTTGTGCATGTAAAGATCGGCGTGGGCATCGGGAGACCTGGTTGCCGGAACCTCAATGGTGTTGTGGTTGGCGACAGAAGGAGAAAGAGGGATGGTGAGCGAGTCTTGGCGGGAGTTACCACGAGTCTTGGCAACGTTGAGCTGTTGTGGCTGTTCCTGCTGCTGCTGCTTTTCGACACCGTCGAGGGCCTTGATTTGAGTCTCAGTTGGTGACTCTGGAGGAGTGTGGGGGTTCGTCTTGGTGTTTGGGTTAGGAATACCCACAACGATATCGCTTTGCTGACCGGACATCTTGATGGATGGGGTATCAGAACAAAATATTTCAAAGCTGAAAGTAAAATAACCGCGGTTTTAAGTCTTCAAGACTGTTCGATGTTTGCTGCTGGATGGATGAAGAGACGCAAAGATGAAAACGCTCTACGTTTCGCAAAGTAGTGGTATCAAAGTTGAAAGAGAAAACACAAGAGGATTCGATTGCTGATGATGGCGGAACAATATCATCATGTTGAGCGGCGGGGATCAGTGTCTCTTATATGTCGCCGTCGGTAGGGTCCAAGGCGATAGTATCATGGTCTTGGCTCCTGTCATGGTGGGTGTGTGCTCTTTGGACCCCTGGGATGCTGGGATGTCCTCCCCATCAGACCAACCACGCGAGTCGCATTCGCGAACCCCTGATCTACTTCTGACAAAGGAATCCATTCTGAGGGTGCCGTCTGGCGCCAGGCGTCGATCTGAACCATCTCAACCGAGCAGGTATCGCCGCAAGATCTCCAGGATGACGACAGATAGGGCAACTGCAGTGATGTTAATATGGCCGTACCCACACAGTGTCGTGGCAGCCAGCGCAGGGCCCCCACGGATTGGATGGCATACACAGTGTACACTGAAGCCATCCACATTCAGTCCGTCTCCAGCTCCGTATTGCCCATCGGACCATATGTGGCCCCCCTTTCTTCGCATGCTCCGTGCATTCACCGTTGTCCTGAATCAATCTCCCACACGGGCTACCGTCAGTTTGGAGCGGACACAATGTGGATTAGGAGGAGTTGGAGGGTCCTACGGAACGGAACACGGCTAGGACGGTTGGAGCATAGGCGGCGGGCTTGACCATGTCGATGTCGTCAGAGGCCCCAGAAATGCTCAGATGTTGAGGGTCCTGGAGAACGGAGATTCTGGACAAAGAAGGAAAGGGATTGGCCGTCCTAGCAGGGCGACAAGTGGGCAAAATTTGTGGGACCGTTTGGCCACTACAACTGCACCACTGCGCAGCGCTAAGACAGGTGGCAGCAATCAGGAGACGACCCGGCACCCGGCACCCGGCGTCCGGCGTTGGCGCTGCCGCCGGCTTGACCGCTCACCACCCAATTTGGATATGGTTTTTTGCCAACAAGTGAACCTTGCTTGCCCCGACCTTGTCCGTGTGTGTGTTGCGTTCGCCGCCGTTGTTTGTCCGTTGTCCGTCGGTTGTCACGGTAGCGTTGCACTCTCACCGACGAGGCGCCATAACCGACCAAGCAAGGAAGAAGGCACCAAACGGCACCAGAGAGACGAGAGAGAGCCCAAAGCGACGAGGTGAGTGCTGGCTCCAATGACAGCCCGGTGCCTGAAACTGACCGACAGTGATGTTCCATGAGGACCAAACATCAACAGCCAAACATGACTCGCGGAGGGCGAAGATCTCGAGAAGATCGGGGGCCGTAACGGGACAAGCTTCGCCTTGGCGCGTCCTTTTGTCATCCGTTGGAATGCCGGGCGGTCCCTCCGTCTGGCACCATGTCGGTGCTGCGTCCGTCCTGTTTTTGTGAGACCTTGTCGGCGTCCGACAGCGACAGCCCACCTCATCCCCGCCGCACGTGGGGCTCCGTGGGTCCTCCGTGCGTCATCGGTGGACCCCTAAAAATGCCGCTGGCGACCTATGCACTGAGGACTGACCCAGCACTGATCCAACGCTGCGCTGACCCAGCGGCATGATGCATCGACCTCCTCACTCAGTGCAGTGCCGTGTCAGGATGAAGGATACCTTGGCAGGCCGCTGCGAGTGGCCCCGAGGGGAGTTGGCCACACCCGACCTCTCTTCGCTTGTCTTTGTTTACCGCTACGAGTCTCGACAGGGAAATACGTGCAGATGAGCAGCTGTGGTCGTGTAGACCTCCGAATTGGATTTAACTGGCGCTTCCCGTGGGTTGTGTAACTTTTTGACGCTATACCCATCCTACTGCATCTTTGCTCCTGCAATTTCTCTCTCTCACTCATCATCATCAGCATTCATCCATCATCATCTTCTTCACCAGCAAACACAGAATTCTCTCATCAGCCTTGGCTTTTGACGAATAATCCCCCCCCTCCCTTCTCCATCACAAAACAACACACAAGAAACCACCTAGTCAAGGATTGCTCCGACAATCCGTATATCATCATCTCCTCCAAAATGACTGGATTCACCGCCGCCAACACCACCTACACTCTCAACAATGGAGTGAGAATCCCCGCTGTCGGATTCGGCACCTTTGCCAACGAGGGTGCCAAGGGCGAGACCTACGCCGCCGTCAAGAAGGCCCTCGAGGTCGGGTACCGTCACCTAGACTGCGCGTGGTTCTACCAGAACGAGGACGAGGTCGGCCAGGCGCTCGCCGAGTTCCTTGAGAACCACAAGGACGTCAAGCGCGAGGACATCTTCATCTGCACCAAGGTGTGGAACCACCTGCACGAGCCCGAGGATGTCAAGTGGAGCTTGCAGAACTCGCTCGACAAGCTCAAGGTTGACTACGTCGACCTCTTCCTCATCCACTGGCCCATTGCCGCCGAGAAGGACGAGGCCACCAACATGCCCAAGATCGGCCCCGATGGCAAGTACATCATCAAGAAGGACCTCACCGAGAACCCCGAGCCAACATGGCGGGCCATGGAGGATCTCGTGGATGCCGGCAAGACGCGGTCCATTGGTGTTTCCAACTGGACCATCCCCGGCCTGCAGAAGCTCCTCAAGTTTGCTCGCATCAAGCCGACCGTCAACCAGATTGAAATCCACCCCTTCCTCCCCAACACGGAGCTCGTCGAGTTCTGCTTCAAGAACCAGATCATCCCCACTGCCTACTCTCCTCTCGGCTCGCAGAACCAGGTCCCATCGACGGGCGAGCGTGTCCGTGATGACCCCACTCTCAAGGCCGTTGCTGAGCGCAGCGGGCACAACCTTGCCCAGGTGCTCCTCGCCTGGGGTCTCCGCAGAGGCTACGTCGTGCTCCCCAAGAGCTCGACCCCCTCGCGTATCGAGAGCAACTTCCAGATTCCCGTCCTCCGCGACGAGGACTTCAAGGCCATCCAGGAGGTTGCCAAGGGCCGCCACTGCCGCTTCGTCAACATGAAGGACACTTTTGGCTACGATGTCTGGCCCGAGGAGTCCGACGGCCAGCTCAAGCAGGAGTAAATGTTGTGTCGTGGAGTTTTTTGTCGAGATGATTTAATGACTGGGATGCGGGCGTGTCAACGGGAACGGAACGATTAGAGCGGTTGGATAGCAAAATTCCTTTGTATTGGATACCTTAGAATGATAGACATCACTTGGTAGATGGTCAAGCAAGCGGGTGGATTAGTTGCTCTTCTCATGTGTGGAATTGGAACTATTTTCGAGTATCTGTGTGTTGAATGTTCTATTGTGATTTGTGACGTCGTTATTCATGTTCAACCTCAGTTCTCATCTCTTCAGTTTCATTGCTCACAAAGTCCAATCAAACGAACTGAAATCGAAGTCTTGACTCGCAATTGTGAAGTTCGACCAGGAACCGACTCATTGATGCGGACAGTCCCGTCCCGCCGGGTGCTCCTGCCCGTTTGATCGCCAGCACAGACCTCCCTTTCTGCTCACAATCGCCCACCTTGGAGTGGAGGAGCGCGGTTTCCATCTCTTCGCGATTGAGATCATCCCTGATTCCACTTGACATTTTCACCTGCGTTTCATATTGCGCCTCTCATTTCCCCCGCCATCATATCGCTCATCACGGAAGCAGCGACCCGCCAAGCCGATTCATGATCAATCTTATGCCAAGAGAAGGAACACACTGACGAGGCCATCCGCCCTCGATCCTCACACTTTCCTCCGGTAAAACTCCAGCTGATCGTCAACACCACGAAGATGTACCGGAATACCTCTATGTTTTGTCTCACTCTCCACGACCTACGTTCGCGTTTCTATCAGCTAGGCCAATCGATCATTTGAGGCCTCCCAAATACTTTGGTACCTAGTTTTGTCACTGTCAGAACAGAGGCTGAAGAAATAACTTCAACTCATCAACGTGGTCCATGAAACAAACACTGAGCACCTTGCAAGCAAGACCTTGGTTCACTCTCCAATTAACTTCTACTTCCATTCTGCCGCATCACGCTCCTTTTTCCAACTGCACCACATTGTCAGTGACATTCCCCACGAATACCTCAACCTGGGTACCCTCTCCATTTCTCTTCATCATCCACCCGTCTGTCCCCGCCACCCCCCGGTATCTCCAGACTCCAGCATCCCCCATCCTACACTCAAACACTCCAAACCCCTATCTGGTCTACGTACTTCCACACTCCTCCACGACCAGGTATCAACGCCCTCACCCTCCCATTTCCCCTTTCCCCTTCTCCTTCCCCTTCTCCATCCACCGTCACCCAAATCCACCAATGCGCCCACCAACATCCCTGCCCCCACCTCCACGGCTTCAAACATGCACAGCACACATCACATAGCATGACCGGACAACTCGACATCCAGACCTGCCTTTCGGGAATTTTACCGTTCTCGTCCACTAGCTCTAGTTGCTGGTAACGAAGCTTATTGGAGTTGACGAGCTGGTTGAAATAGACCTCGAGAGCAGGGAGTTTATCTCGGCCGTCGGAACAGGGCCAGCAGCAGACGGAATTGTGGCGGAGGCAGAATTCGGTGAGGGGAGAGTAGGTTTTGGGGGGTGGGATGGGTGGCGGTGGGGGAAGTGGTCTGGGGGTGATGAGGTCGGCGATGGTTGGGCGGGTGGCGAGCCAGGCTTCGCGGTCGAAGGATGATGATGGTGGTGGTGTGCGTTCTGGCTGCATTTGGGTGGATTGTAGAGGATTCGCCCTGTCTTTGTCTTCGTCCTCGTCTTCAAGCATGCGTTGTAACTGACTGAGTATTTGGGTGGGATTGGGTTCGGGGCGGTAGCCTTGTGATGAATCGCTGTTTGGGCCATGTGTGGTTGGAACCATAGGAGGATGCATGCCATTGCTTCCGGTATCGTTCTCGTGGGTTGGGGCATCCAGTGCCAGCTTGCGGCGAGTGTCTTCACAACAAGTGGATCTGTTTGAGTCGGGGACGTAGGCGGCGTGAGAAGGAAGTGAAGGATTGGTGTTATCATTTCGGGAATTGTTACGTGCAGCGTTGTCATCAAGTCCGAGAAGTTGACGAGCTGTGAGGCCCGATGAAGTCTTATCCGCTGTGAAAGACATTGTAGCTGCCTTCCAGCATTCCTTCGGAAGTTCAAGTAACGCCGACCGGGTCTTGATTGGTATAACCTGTCCTTAGGTTGAGTTGATCAAGGCTTGAAGACCAGTAGACAGCGCTCTCCAGATATAAGGTTGGTAAAAGATACGTCCCGTCAGGATGAGATGATGCGATCTCTTGTCGCTCATGTTGGTGACTGGGCAAATGCCGATGCGCATACAAAGAATGATTGTTGGTGTTGGACGTGGCCTTGTCCCTGCATTTATGTGAATGTTCTTTGTTTGCGATGTGGGCTATTGGCCCTAGTCATGGCCCTGGGCAAACGAGTACTATCGTTGGATGACTAGTCTTACGATGAAGGTATCGAATGAAGTGCACGTAGTGTAGTGGCCGATTGTTGGTCATACAAGCAGCGAAGATAGATCAATGATTTTCTGGAAGCAAAGAACCACTGCCATACAACAACGTCTCGAGATGGGAGATGGATAATGGGAAGCTATCGACATAATGATCACTAGAGGTATAATTCGCAAGCCCGGGTGCTATAACAGCTGCTCACAAGTGTTCCTTTCTGGCCAATGCGATGGTTGGTCTGATGAGGATGAATCTTGTGACAGGATACCAGTTCTGAGGACCCCTTGTTTCCAGTGACCCAGTACACCTTCCCAAAGTACATCTCTCGCTGTAATACACACCATCTTCTCTGCCCGGCAACAGCAATCACCCTCCGGTCTCTATACTAGCCAAACTCGAAGCAGCCGCAACACACGCACCCAAAAAAAAAGCAAAAAAAAAAAAAACCACCAAAAAAATGGCGCCCAACTGCTTTATTAGACAGTCGTCTATACCACAACAAATTTGGTTAAGACGAGAGCAATGCCTCTCCTTGTTCTCTTACATTTCCTTAGTTGTCTTGATGGGCTTTCCGAACTCATCGAGATGTTACGCTACTGCTTTGCCCTTCTGCCTACGTGTGTCCGGCTCGAGCGACGTGCGCCGCCCCTTCTCTGTTTTGAGTCTCTCACAATGCCTGTTTCAGTCGGAACTGTTCCATCAACATTCGGATTTAGGATCCATTTTCACCTATCTTAGATAGAGCTTGACTTGCCGCACCGTCCCCAATATCCTCATGCACCCTTTTTGACTTCGCGCACCCTATGTCAGCTGTCATAAATACAAGTCGTTTTCACGTACAAATTCCCGTATTTTCAATAATTCTAAACATTTCAGTGCACCAACGTAGGAGGGTATAGAAAGAATTAAATACGATAGATTACAAAGTATAAACATCCTCTTATTAATTAAGTAATTAATTTGGGGGGGGTATAGATATAATCGGATTAAGGATTTATAATTGTAAAGAAGTAGAGATATACCTTTGATTGTGCGGGAAAGAATCGTATTCTGAAATCGTCAAAGTTTCATCGACATATGAGTAGATATTACATAACGTTTTAAAAGTGGGTTTTACTATACAAAACGCGGGACTTTACATATCAGCTATCATCGGTTGGCATGTGGGGAAAAAGGGGGGCGCGAAGTCAAAATAGGGTGCATGAGGACATTGGGGACGGTGCGGCAAGTTAAGCTCCTTAGATAACGCTCGTATGTATTTATACCTACACCTTGGTTCATACACCACTACTATCTTGCTCCGGGAGATGGTTCATCTCACTTTGGATGTAGCGCGGGTCAGAGCTAGGGCGAGAGAATCGTGCGGTGTTTCTGCTGAGCTTGGTGACATGGCTGGGGGATTACCTATGTTGATACCTTGGCCAACTTTTTAATTGCTATCCAATGAGGCTGCAAAGTTCGCAATAGGATCCGCGAAGTTAGGGGTGCATCTTAATAGTTGCGCTGCCGCTGGGCACAGTTCCATTCCTTGGCACGTGTGAGTCGAGCATATCATCCAGGAGAAACATGGCGAATCTTACCGCTTTGTTAGTTGAGCCTATCGTAGTGAAACTAGTTATATATGCCGTAAGGGTTTAGCTGGATATTCGATGCTTATGTGCTTTGTAGTGGTGGAAGTAGAGCGAAATACTTAAGAGGCAGAGCCTGTTGGTACCGTAGCGGAGTGTACGACGGAATGCCAACGTTTTTCCGGCCAAATCAATCGTACAGGTAACCTTCTGCTATATGTTTAGGATAAAGAGGATGGAATGCCGAAACTTGGTGTTTTCCTGCCTGTCGGCATCTGCGAGCCGTTGTTGCTGTGGGTTGGTTAGGAAAACAATTGGAAGGGGAGAGATAATATCGCGCGTTATACTACACCTTCGGGGATGCTTAGTAGCTGGAATCCTTTAAATGTACCGTAGAAACTCGCCAGATTGGCAAACCTCTACTGCTAGAAAACTAGGTTATTTGGGCAGAATAAGTAGAGTCCTGTAAGGTTCACGTTTGGCTTCCTGCACAGAAATGTGTGTGTGTGTGTTAAGGTGGAGGGCAATGTCACTGGTCGGTGGCTTGTTAAAATTGCACTCAAACTGGGCCAGCAGAGCACATTCGGTATGCTGCCTTCTGTGCTTACTGTCGGGCGCTCAAAGAGTCTTTTGCCAATCTGGCGAGTCTCTACGGTAGGCCAGAATTCTTACTGTGATATGCCGGATTCTTACTATCTTGAGGGTCCCCAACAACTTGATCGGGCAAGGCAAACATATGCTGACCTTTACAGCGTTGCTTGGTATTGGTCCTTTGGCGGACGATGGATGCTTTGTTGCCCAGCCGCCAATACCTTCTGCTGTCTCGCATCTCGAACAAGGGTCATCCAACGAAGACGGATGGTCGCTTCTGAATTTGTAGGAAAGGCGGGACAAGCGGAATGATTCGGGACACGAATGACTGCAGGAACTTGTTAGTCGCATGAGAGGGTTGAAGGCAGAGAGGACAGGAGCAGGAGCAGTTGGAATGTCGTCGTGCTGCGGGCCCGAACGCCGACTCACCAAGCATTAGACCCACCCCGTCCCAGTATACCAACCAATCAGATATTACACATCCGGTGGTTGTTTTCCGCTTTGGGAAGGCGCGAGCAACGACGGGGAAGCTGCGTTCTCAGCGTTCCTTCTTCCCACCGACAACTTCCTGCACAAGAAAACCCAAACCAGTCTCTGCCTGCAGTGCTTTTCAACAACGAACTTGATTTCCTGATGGCAACGGACCTCAGTAACAATCGCCCTTACTCCCGTCAGCATCACAATACATCCATGAATCCAGCAATCACCCTTTAGGACACTGCAGGTGCAAGCAGCCAGGACAGCGCACTTCAACCTGCCCAGGTAATCCCTCGTGTCTGTGAGTGGCACGAGGGATCCAAAGACAACGCTCCTACTCATCGTGCGGTTCAACCTACAGGTAGTTGCCTGGAAGCCATGGCTCACCTTGTTCTTTTTTGCCCTTCTCTTTCAGTACTTAATTTAAAGGTTGGCTTCCCTGCGACAGAGAATGACAGGATTCTTTCGCTCTTTTCCCCCATACTAGTATCAAGCCGTATGCTTTTTTTTTTGGTTTCTTTTTTCTTTTTTGGAGAACAGTGAATACTTTAGACAACAATCAGTAAGTCAGATCAGCCAATCCATCCATTCAAACGCAAGCTGACACTCTCATTTCACCAGTCCCACCAAGTATCAAACTTGTCTGTTACCACTCACCACAAATGGCCTGACACCATCATGTCCCAACCACAATTTAACCTCAGCCTCCCCCCCCTACCCAGGGTCTCCATCTACCAACAAGCCCACGCCCAAGTCCTCAAAAAAATCGGACCAACCCCTGATCTCTCCGCCGAAGAGCGCATCCTCTACATCATGGACCTAATCCGTTGCTCCATATGTTCCCGCCTCGGTATGATGCCTCTGTGCCTGAAACCGGGATCTGTGACCTCGGAACACGTTCAAGTTGCGATCATGAGCTTGGGACAGCCAAAGGTATGGAAGTCAGAGAGGGAGAAGTGGATGGAATTTGCAAAGGAGAAATTGGGAGTTCGGGTTACTGAAAGGGTTATCGTTGCTGAGGATACTGAGGTGACGGAGAGAATGACTTCTGATGAGTTGGTGAAGAAAGGCGGAGAGGGAGTCATGATTGGGAATACACAGGGGAAGAGTCCGGCCAAGAGACTTGATGGCGACAAGAAGGAGGGAGGAAACAATGTTGAGGAGGATGAGGAAGCTGAGGAAGCTGGAAGGATATCTTAGAAGGAGATCCTGGCTGGGTTGAAGATTGTGGACATGGAAATGGATTCTTCGAAGACGCTTTCACCGGATAACTTTCCTCTGATCAGGTCTTCGCTGGAGTTGGTGGAGTATAGGCTGGAGCACATGAAGGAGGTCTTCGTACCGCTTGTCGCTCGGATTAACAATGCTTTACTGGATGAGAAGGGGGTGGAGCAGAAGCTGGCGGCTATGGAGAAAGGGCTTGCTTCGAACCAAGTTGACAAAGAGGGAGGAGGAGGTGAGGAAGCCTCTAAGAATTTCATGCTGTTTTCGCTCGAGTACAAGTCTCTGGTCGCGAACTTGACTGCTCTGGAAAAGCTGTTTGTTGAGCATGGTATTCCCGCGTACGTGTCCCCCTATTATTCTACAGAGGAGAAGTTGGATTCCATGGAGCAGATGCTTGTTTCCGAGATGGAGACGATGATCTTGAACGAGAGACCAGCTATGAGCACAGAGGTCCAGTCAAGGTTTAGGCCTCTGATGGAAAAGTTGGCTACCCTGGAGAAGATGTATACTGCTGCGATGGGAAAGGCAGTGCGCACTTAGTGAAGGAGTTCCACAAACACTATTATTAATCGATTTCAATTGATAGGCAGGGCACCGAAGATAGTATTCCAGGCTTCCAAAGGCTCGTGTAATCGAAGTGTTCTTTTCATTTTTTAATCTTCTCTCAGACATGCCAAACTCTTGCCGCATTCGAAGACAGGCATCAAGTGATCAATGCTCAGCGGTCGTCGTTTATAACGAGTAATGATACATGTCGTGCCGACAGCATACGATAGCACTTCACCGTTGAGCTTCTCTGTATGCAGCTTCTCAATATCCTTGTTGGTAGCCACGTCGATCTCGCTTCTCCGGAATCGCCTCGAGATACTTTAACCACAGTTGCCGCCGAGTCTCAAGGTCGGGTCGCCGTAGGTCAGCGCAAGGTATATGCGAAACTTCATCGCGGCATCGAACGACCGGACGCCGCTGATGGTCAGGAACACGATCCCTGAGAAGTACGCGACATGCTTCTGGGAAGGGTGTTGGTAAGTATAGAGAGACGTCACTAGAAGTTGGTATAGTATGGTTCCAACACGGAGGATACGCACCGACTACACTACAAGGTGTTTCGGTTGGCCTTGTGACCTTTTGTGCCGTTGCGTTTCTCCGGGAACACATCATCAGCTTCATCGAGTAGCACGGCTGCCTTCCTCTTCGGCTATTTCCATTTTGTGGCGTAGTGCGATAACTCTTTGAGAAACCCCTCAAACGCAAGGCCCAGGCAGTTGTCTCGGTTTAACTGTCCAAGTGAGCAGAATATCAGAGGCGGCCTCTGTCCGTCGAAGTGAGCATGGCGTACTGGCCATTGCCGTGGCTGGTTGACTTGCCTGCCGTCGTTGTCTTTCCAGATCCGCCGGGACTAACATGTAACGATAAAGCCAGCCTCTTGCCCTTTTGCGTCTCTTCGTCCTGGGCATTGTCAGGGAACATCGATGCGGTTCTCAACGAGCGCTCATGGGAGGCGTTTCTGGGTATTATGGAGGAGCAGAGACTCCCAGATATCTGGCTGCTAGTCGATAAGTCGAAGACAGTTCAGGTAGTGCCGGCGGAATGTTTTTTTTTTTTTTTTTTTTCTTTCTTTGATGCTTGGCAAACGCCCTTGGTGTAGGGCTGACAAAAAGTAAGGTTCGCACGTCTGGATTGGCGACGACAGCCTTGCGTTCGGAGAAGATTTCCTCCTTGAATGTTAGTACCCGGTCCAAGACAGCTTTTGCTGCTCTTATATTGACGTTTCGGTTTGTGCGAGTTATCCTCTGGCCTCTAACCTTGGGGTCAGTGTACTGATCGTGAACCCCCTCCAGAAGCCTGCTGTGTCTTTGAGCGAGGGATGGTAGTAATGCCTTGTAGGTTCTTGGAGATACTTGGGAGGTAACTATCTTCCGATAGCGCACAAAGCCTGATTGTCAGCGTAAGCTTAGGTAGTCACAAATTTGTTCGAGACTTCTTCTATCTCCATCACGACCTGACCCCTACACTACGGATCATCTCTCCAAGTATATCGTTGATCGTTCATCGGCGCATCGTGAACGTGGCTCAATTAACTAAGTAACAAACGCCATTAAAGTCAGGATGGCTTGCCTGAATCCTTGCAAACCGACACCAAGATTGCATTCCCTTGATATGTTTCCGTCTTTTGGTCTCAGTAGTTGAGAATGAGAGACGTGGTTCGCGAGGAAATGCGTGGAGATCCGAGAGCTAACGGGTTGGAATGGAGTACATCATCCTTCATCGCCCCAAACAAGATCGCTTTGGTGGGGATAAACTGGGTAATGGGACAGTGTCAACGCACGATTTGGAGGGCCTTCACCATCTTCAACGCTTCATCAAGGACTAGCACGAGGCACTCTCGTCTGGCATGCACTATTGCTGTGTCCCATAGATCTTGCAGGTTCTGGTTTCTTTCTGGAAATACAGTCACATCCACTGCCTACCTAGAAAGCTGATAAACGAATGTCACTTTAGCACAACATAGGGTTGGCGGCTCGTGAATGAGGTACGGATTACTTCCTTCGATTCAGTAAAGGCCAATGTAGCGTGTCTTTGTGTACGAGTACAAAGGCCTTTTCAGCCCGTGGAGACTCCGAACTCCGGGAGCTAGCAGAAGATACCGACTAGAAGGGCGGAGACCGGAACTGGTGATGAGTCCGAGTATGACGAGGTAGAGGAGAAGTATCATAGGATGAGGAGGAACTCGATGAAGAGGAAGAATGTAGTGAAAGTGCAGCGGCATTGACTCGTCAACTGATGAAACAAAGGCCGAATGCGATACTGTTTCCAACATCCTTTGTCATGGTTCGTGAAGAGAACCCCATTCGGGTCCCAGGTGTGGTTAGGAACACGTGACCTCGCGTTCAATCTGCACCTTGCAGTGTTTGCTGGCGATTGTTGGCGCCGTCACCCAGACAAGATGGGAATAAAAGGCGGAAATTGATCACGAGGGCAGATCAGCAAATGATGATGATCAGAGAAGCGTTTGACAATGGATCATTCGTCCCGATGTTGGACAACGGGAAGTCGAGACTGAAGACTGCAGTTGCGAAATGACGCAGCGACGCGTTGCGCCAATTGCAGAGATGAAATATGAACAACTGGGTCTCAAATCACAGCACACGCTTGAAGATTGTGGGGCCACTTTCTGTAGCGTCGCTGACCATTTGATCCGTGCAGTGAACCGTAGCGTGCAGAACTGCAAGAACAGGGGAGGCCAAGAGCGCCAGAAGTTCACGCGCGCGCGGCAGTGGGGACCCGGGACCCGCTAAATACCTTAGTGTGCGACCATATTGTCCACAGCACAGCTATAGAAAGCGGAGTCGTGTAAGTGCACACAGCCCAGGGCAGCGCGGTTAGGTTCCAGTTCGTTAGCCCATCTGCGGGCGTCGTCGCGAACCGCGTAACGCACGCCAACTGAACACTAGCGCCTGTACAGAGAGCGGGAGAGAGAGCACCTGGCACCTACCCGAGCTTCCAACCAAACGAAGAGCCCTCCTCGTCGCTTTCGCTTGTCGCCAAATCTCGCAGGAAGCAATCTTCAACCTACGACTGCATTCCAATTGCTTGCCCCGAATTATCGCCTCCCCCGCCGCCCTCCGCCACGATCCCCTCGTCCGCCCGGCCGCTGTCGTTCTACCCAAAGCGCCATTATGGGGCCGGACACGCCCTCCGCGTCGGTGTTGCCTGCGCTGGACCCCGGACGTGTCACTGCGATTGCGACGCCGATGCCGACGCTTCACAATGCCGACAAAGACTCGACACTTTTGCTTCCTCATAGCTCCATGGTCGCTGCCACTATGCGACAAGCTTCCACTGCTCTACCGCCGACTAGCGACAAGGCGACGCGGCCAGCGGCCCCCAGCTCCCACGACGCGACCGACTATCGCGTCCCAAGTTATCCGCATCCCCATTCCCACCAGCCCGCCGCCAATCCCACCGTCCGACACCCGGCCCCCGAGGTGCCCCGTATCTACGACCCTCGCCCGTCCGAATACCCTCCGGTCAACGCCGTCAATGCCAATTTAGCTCCTTACGACAGCTCGAGTCGCTTCCAACCTCCTCCGCCGTCCCAGCGTCACCGCCTCCCGCACTCCCTCAGCGTCTCGCAAGCGACCAGTTCCACCAACGACGCTGACTTGGTGTTTACCCCGCCCTCAAGCGAAGGTGGTCGGAGCCCTAGCAAGCCCAACAGCCACGACTCGAGCCAGGATTCACAGCTGCTGCAGCTCTCCCAGATTGCTGCCGCGCAGGAGAGGATACCCGAGAATGGAATTGCCTTGTCAAGGAAGCGCATGGCTGACGGAATGGTCAAGCCCACATACGAAAGGCCCAGTCTATCTCCCGCAGGCACCGCCAGTCACACAAGAAACACAAGCGCCGTCAGTATGGCTTCTACTGCCACCAGCCGACTGGGAGAGGTGAGTCTTTTGGTTGGATCCTTACCCATGGGGTAGTCTTGCTTTCATTGCTAACACCACCTTTGTTACAGCTCTCTGCCGAGCTCAAGACTCGTCTTTCATACGCAATGGTAAAGGTCAACAATGGATGGCAATCTCACTCGATTGACCAAGTCGAGTCGCTGGCTTCCCGTGCTGCTTCCCCTACCTCGAGCAATTCCACTGTACATATGAGGAACGGGTCGTCCGCCAGCCCACAGCTCTCGAACCTCCAACGCATAGGTAGCCACGCCAGCACGGTTCCCCCCAACTCTCAACAGTACCCAACATCATCCCAGCAATATCCATCAGGGTCTCAGCAGTACCCGTCGGGTTCGCAACCACATCCGTCAGCATCACAACAACAACAACAGCAGCAGCAACAGCATAGTCAAGGGCGGCTGGTCGAGAGTTCTTATGCGCGAGAGTCAGGCCACTTTGCTCCTCGTTATAGCCCAACCCAACAAGCCGAGCCAATTCCTTCAGTTACTCTTGCTCCCCCCGCCCCTATTCAGCCAACACGGCAGCAATTCCAACATCCTCGACGCAATTCAGTGCCACGAAACACACAGGCTTTTCTTGCTATTAACCACCAGCCACCACCTCAACAAGGGCCCAACACAGTTGGGCAACCGAGTCCTTACCTATCGACACACCATCATCGCACATCGCTAATGGAGCCGCCACTTTATCCTCCACATCAGAACGTCCGGGAACAAGACGCCATAGAATCGTTACTCTTCATGAGTAGTCCCGGTAACTCTGCCAACCTCAAACACGGCTTTCCCTCATCATCACAACCCCTCTCGTCCTCGCAACCACCATTGTCATCATCACAACCTCTGCCATCCGGCCACGCACAACCGCAACAACGAACCGCCTTACCAAGTTCACAACCACGGAAAAGCCTACCCTCAGCAAGACCAGCAAACCACCCACGCGCCCACCAAACGCAGTCTCAGCCCATCCAAAAACGCGTAGGCTTCCAAAAGTCTCCCAACGCTATGGACATGGACGACGGCACCTACGGCGTTTCGCCGTACAGCAATAACAACAATACGCGAGGCACGCCGCGGAAGAGAGGAGGATACAACGGGCACGCGGCTGGCGGTGGCGAGCTACAACAATATGCACACGCACACGCACATGCACCCATACCAAAGTTGAAGCAAATGCCCGTCTCCTCGGGGCTGACGGTACCATCGAGGCCGTCACGCACGGGCCTGAAAGACGAGGACATTGATAGGATGTTGGAGCTGGCAGCGGCCCGGGAGAGGGGAGACTCGGATTCGGAAGGTGAGATTCAAATCCCGGTATCGAGGGGGCGCCGGGAGGGCGCAGGTATCGTTCGGGCGTAGCAACATCCGGGAGGGTTCTGGGGGAGGCAGATGCCAGATGGACTGATGGGATCAAACGAGATGACGGGATCGGTATAAAACAACAGTGTCTACGGCCAGTATTTGCGAGGAATGGAGAGGAAAGGGGTGTCAATCAAAAGACTTGACTCGGGGGGGTTTTGGCGCGATTAGGCTTCGAAAAGAGTGGAGGTCATTGTTTGCTAGGTATTTTCTAGCCATGTGGACATCGACGCATTGCAGCAACATTCGTTAATCGCTCTCGGAGCAGTGATTTATGGTTTTCGTCACGAAGCATCATTGATTGGGGAATGTTGACCGGGCATAAAGGCCAGTGGTTTTGAAGACCGGCTGTGGCAGACGTCAAGCTATAACAAGCGAATTTGCTTCAGGCTATTTATCATGGAGATCAAACCGAACATGTGGGGAGATGAATCAACAGGCAAGAGGAGATCTTGTCTCGATATACAGGAACTGCCTTCTCTCCTGGTATCAACTGCTACAAAATGTTGGTGTTCCAGAGATTGTACAAGAATCCGTTATGTTCTCCTAATGGCATGTGATGGTGGACCGTGGCGCTGGTCATTCTTGCATGTTGTATGTTGCGTCCCTGAACGCAAGAAAACCACTGCAGCGCAAGAACGTACCAACTTTGGCAGGAGTGGTGGCTGTTCCGTGATGCACGGGCCAGCCAGGAAATCTAAAACCAAGCCTCCCCCCATGGTTTGCTTTCATTTTCTTTTTCTCTTTCTTTTTTTTTTTTTTTTTTTTTTCCTGCTTTTCTTTCTATTTCGTTTTTTTCTTTGCAAATGTTTTACATCACCATCATCCACGCGACGTTCCCTTCTGTTCATTGCTTCTCCTCTTTTTTTCATGCACAAATCCTCATCACATAACTCCAGCGTCTTTGTTTCCCTCCTTTCAAACAGCGTTCTTCTTCCATTATTGCCTTGCCTCTGCGACCTTATGTTTTCACTACTTTCATGCCCCTTGGTGGTTAGTTGTCTGTGGCTCTGGGGCCCATGGGGGTCATTATCCAGTTTTGCGGTGCAGAAACGACCAAGCATGTGGGAGTTTACACGGTCCAGCCCTTCCTCGTCCTTTCTTTCTTTCTTTCCTTTCCCTTTTTTTTTTTTTTTTTTTCTTGTATTTTTTTTATATATATATATATCTCATTTTGAACTCATGACAGCGTTTTCGCTCGTAGCGATGCGTTCAACTCAAGAAACGTTCTTTTTGCGATGGTGCGCTGAGTTGCAAAAACATCAATGAGTTCTTCTTTCTCGTCAACTTTCTCATTGCTTGGTAAAACCCAAGAGGTTGGTTGGTTGTTGGCAATCGAGGGTCTTGGCAATTGAGGTCGTCAGCAATTGAGATGGTGGAGGTACAGAGGTACATCGGACCAGGGATGCGGGGCCGAGACGTTGCGACGGAAGGAAGGATTCGGACACGACTAGTCCTATATAGGTTAGGTCGATGGTAGTCATAAATAACAACCAGCCAATGTGGTTACATACCTTAGCGGCTCCATGTGACGCCCCACTTTCGGCTACCGACCGCAAGGTCACTCGTTCGATCCCATGTCGAGGGCAAGCACGACGGAGTTTTCATCCCATTGCTATGGGAGAGCTGTCCGGGCAAGTCCTGGGCACTCTCCCATGGTGAGTTCTCATCATAGCGTAGCTTCCTCTTCCATAGCGAATATAACTTATCTACAGCGAAAATTAGTATCCTAGCGAAACGAGCGAACGAGCGAAACGAGCGAAACGAGCGAACATACTAACCAACAGCGAAAGAGCGAGTATTACTAACCAGCAGCGTACTAACCCATAGCGAAAGAGCGAGTATCACTAACCAACAGCGTACTAACCCATAGCGAGCATTACTAACCAACAGCGAAATCCCAAGTGGGATCTGGGTTTTCACCAAGCGGTTTCCCAGCGAAGTAAGTATTTTTTTTTTGTATTTTCTGACCTTTTTCTCTTTTTTTTCTTTCACCCCCGACGCTCCCGCATTGGTTATGAGAGCCAGGATAGGATGCAGGGGCTCGTGAGAGAAGGAGGGTGAAGACGCTGGATGGCGATATGGTGGATGCCGAGGGCTTGGAGAGCCAGGCAGAATTACCAGTCGGCTTTGTCGAGGGGTGCGACGGCCGCCGACGAAGGGGGCTTGAGAGTTCGGGGACGGAAAAGATGTCCGGGTTTGCGTGGGCACCCTCCCGCTCTGACTTGCGTCGGGACTTTTGTGTGTCGAGTAGTGTGATAGCGTTACCCTTTTCCCCCTTGGCTTTCTTCTTGGTGGTGCCAAGTTGGCCAGCGAGGTTGTTGACAAGAGCGTGCGTAAGGATGCGCTCCAACCATGGGGGCAAGTACTTGCAGCGGACGTGTGGAAAATTGGGATCAAATTGGTCGAGTGATTATTGTTGGGGTAACTTGCCTAGCATATAAAGTTCTATAGGCATAACGTGATTCGAAGCATGCGAGAGTCCTGTGCTTGATTCCCTTGCAGGTAATATGGCAAGTTGTCATCAAGTTTCGTTTCACGTAGGTTTGTTTGTCTACTGACTTAGGACTATCACAATCGATACAGTACACCAAGGATAAGCCAAAAACAGGTATCAAGGTGGGCAAGTGATGCAAACAAGACAGCAGCTACTCACTAACGGGCTTGTCCAGAAAGTTTTTCTTTAGTATTCCAACGACTAATGCCCCCACTTCCCATGCTTCCCATGCTCATGATGTCCCTGGCTCACGCCTTCATGCTCCTTTCCATGACCATGTCCATATCCCACAGATCCAGCATGCGTCTCCGGGTAATGATGCTCCTGTGCCTGTTGTTGAAGAGTAGGATGCTTACCACCGCCACCACCACCACCACCACCAAACATCCCACTCAATCCTCCTCCACCGCCGCCATGTCCATGTCCCAAATCATGGACATGCTGAGTCTGGTGGTGATGGTTCTTCTGATCATGGTTCTTCTTCAACTTGTGCTCCAGGAGATTAGCAGCTACTGCTCCCGCAGTGGTCCCAAGCGCGCCGTGGTGATGGCTGCCGCCGTGACCGAGTTGTTTAGCGAGGAAGTGCCCGCTTGCGCCGCCGACGAGGGTGGCGCCTAGGCCCCTTTCGCCGTCTGGGCCTGTGTGGCCGTCTGGGTTATGGGGAGTGGTGGGATCGTTGGGAGCGTTGGGGCCGTGGGAGATGTTGTTTGACTCCTTACCAACGGGACAGAAATGGCTAGTGGTAGGATGACCATGTTGTTGAACGGAAGAGGTACCACTATGGGTGGCGGGGGTGTCGTTGTTTGGGACTAATTCGTGGTGTAGGAAACCCTGAGCAAGATGGGGGTTCAAGCTGACGTCTGCGGCACCGGCAGGAATGGAGATGGCGGAGCTGCGGCGACGACCGGCGGCGGCATGGTCTTGGAGTTGGAGGTGGTTGTCGTAGGAGTGGAGGTGAGCTTGGCCTTGGGGAGGGTAGCTATGCGAGCTGTGCTGCTGCTGGTTGGATATCTGTTGGTTGTCGAAGGACGACGGCTGTTGATGGCCGGGGCCCGAGGATGAGTAGCTGGAGTTGGTGTAGTAATCGTTTGCGGACATTGCTGTGGATGGACTTCATTGTTAGCAGATCTGGAGGAAGAGAAGGGGTGAGTAACACAGTAGGCAATGGGCAGGGTAGCAAGGAGGGTAGAATACCGAGAGTAAGGGAAGGTTTGGTTATTGAATGCAAAATATGGATGTCGTTTACAATGTGCTTGGGCTTGTCGATGCGAAGTGATGATGGCTTTAGGTGCGTGTTACGAAGATTCGTTGCCAGAGAGCAATAAAGGATGAACTGCTTGCACGACTTGGTGTGGGTGGGTGAGTGATCATGGCCATTGATCTAACACACCTGACCCGTTGTAATTTCTAAAAATGGTGACGCGGTGCGTACCTTGTTCGTACGAGAGTCGTGCTGCGAGGCTCGTTCCTTCTTCATGTGTGGGCGGAACCAACATGAGAGAGAGGACACTCCAAACTTTGGACAAATAAGCAGAATACATCCAAGAAAAGATTGTAAACATCACTGATATGGTACTGGCGAAAAGACTGCTTGCCTTTTTGTCAATCATTCATCGTGATACAACGGGGGGATATTCTTCATGGCATACCCCGGGTTCAAAGAGGGTTCAGTGTCTGTTCGGACTGCCTTTGCTATGCCAGAGAATATTCGATCATTGTCTTCGTTGCAATGTAATTTCACTCCCTTTTACTTTCCTCTTTCGCTTCCCAATCCCCCTTCCTTTACCCTTCTTGCGCACTCTTTGCACTTTCTTTCTTCTTGGAGTCCTTTCCCTCAAACAAGCTGTCGGGCGGACCAACCATGTCCTCCAACCTAGCCTGTCTTCCCTTCATCCAGTCATGGAGGGCCTCCCAGTCGACACAGGCATGCGGCTGCGGCACTTTTACCGTAGGCTTGAATCGGCTGTGCGGCGTCCACTTCAATGTGTAGATGTTCACATCGGCGTTACACAGGATTTCCTGACGCAAAGACTCGAGACAGTGGTCGGCATGTGAGTAGAGCTCATCCCAGTCTTGCGTCTCATGGTTGTAGTAGTACTCTGGGTGAATGTATTGCTTCAGTCGTTTCTTTCAAGCGCGGTGTTAGTCGTGCCGAGGTGCGATCGTCAACACTCGACGAGAAACAGACAAGGGGGCCGCTTACAAGGCAATGCAAAGAATGGGAAATACCCAGCCCACCGACGAAGCCACCATCTTTGTGCTGGACGGAGGTAGCATTGTTGGCGAGGAAGAGCTCATCGGCAGAGTACCTGATCAGAGTGCTGTCAAGGAGGTCGTGCCATGCTTGGTCGAGTTCAGGACGAGGTTTGCCCATGAACTTTTTGGTGTCCGGGTCACCGGTTAGCCATTTGTTGACGTATTTGACTGGGGCCGGCGCTGTGAATCATGTTAGTAAATATAGAAAAAAAGACATGTCGAGATGGGTTGAACTTGCAATACGGTATTACAGCTCCAGGCTTTGATGGTGAACAATCTTGCAATGACAAGATGCTGTAGATTCCGACTCCAAAGAGAATGGATATGACAGAAAGAGAGGAAGCGAGAAGGATGTAAAAACTTCGTTTCCATTTCTGAACCAGAGCTAGTGCCTCTGGATTTTCGGGGATGTTCTCATCATCGCCATGTAGACGAGCATATCGGGGCTTTTCGTCTGTGATCAATGGCTCCATGATGGAGTTTCTGGAGATGAGAACCTCGTCACAGAAACTTGAACAACCGTCGCAGGGCTAAGCAGAATCTAGAGGTACAATAGCTGAGTGGAAGAGGAGTATCAGAGGAAGAAGCAGACACCCATAGCATGGGAGTGGTGTTAACCGAGCGAAACTGCCGGCACTGCGTCAAGGCACTTCTCCCTTGGCATTAAGTTGGTACCCTTGAACCAGAATCAGAAAGACGACAACTTATGTTGGAAACAAGCAGCAAGTGGTTGTGTGGAGTACAATGCATTCCATGATCCTTTTCCCCCTTCATCCTTGTCAATAGGCGCTTGAAGACCAACCGCACAGTATCGGAAGAAGGACCAGTATTTAGTGCTAGAATTATGAAAGTAGACGCTACAATACTGATGGATAAGCGCAGCTATTGGCCCATGGGCTCCATCTCTGTAGTGTAAGCATATCATACGATGCTACCGGGGGAGGCATTAGGTCTGTTGGTGGCGTAAGCCATGCCGATAATCTTGTCCTTGAACAGTAGAAGGATCCGTCACAAGCGCCTATGCGACGAACGGAAGAGGTGGGCGCTGATCTGCCGGACCGCAATCAACGGCGGCTCTTCACTATGGCTGAGGAACCGAACCAGCTTCTTGGCGCTGTAGGGCTAGACACAATTATTGTATGGAAGTACCGGGGCTTGAGTTGGGGGCGTCAGACGTTGTGGACGGTACCGAGCAAGGCAGCCTGGAATGGCGTCTGGGCGAACTTGTCTATCTTTGCGGCGCAGTTAGATAGCGAACCAACCTCAACCCGAACGGATCAAGTCTCGTTCAATTGATTGCACGCAGACCTATGGACCTTCCCTTGGTACCCAAAGCCGTCCAGTCTTGTCCCGCTCATCAGGTCAGCCCTTTCGGAAGTTACAATGGGATTGCTATTCTCGGATCCTTCCGTGCCTGCCTTAAATCACACCCAACCCGGGGAAACAGCACTGTTTCGGAAGGAACAGGCTTGTCCCCCACCAGGGCATTGCTGCCCTTGTGTCACAGGACACCCACCCCTCTTCCTCCAGGCTCCTCGGACCCGACATCCATCCATCCGAAAAAAAAAAAATCACTGCAATGCCGCTCCAATAACTAGATCCTCCTTACATGTCGCAATTGTCAATCCCCTCGCCAATTACCCCCATCCGCTTCTTGAGAAGACAGAGGTCTGTGTCAAACTCTGTCCCCCGCCCATCTCGTCGTATGGCTTGAGCAACATCTGCGGTGGTCCACTCGTCAGTCACAAAGCTCGTGAAAGTCTCGTTGAGGGTTCCTTACCTGGAGACGAGATGGGAGCAGCAAACACTGAAACGACTGACGCCGCAAGCAAGGCAAATAGCGTGGCAGTCTTCATGTTTGCAACGCTTGGACTGCTAATTCGGCTTTGAGGGTGCTCAAGGTGAGGGGCGTTTGGGAGCTGCCAGCGTTGGAGGAGTGCCTGAAGAAGAAGAGATGAAGCCAGGACGGAGAAAAGTCACAACAGCACTGGCGATGACTTCAGACCAAAAGATATACGAGCTGAGTGTAAGAAAGCAAGGCCAAAGAGCATGGTCAGACCCGATTGGCAAAAACGTCGGAAGTTAGAGGTATCTGCATCACCTCGCGGTACTTGTGCTGATAAGCGCCTAACAGGATTCACGCCAGCAGGGGACTCGTAGTTCCAGGTACTGTCATCACAGTAAACATTTTGGTCGTTATAACTGCCCCCTTTACAACCACCGCCAGTCAGCATAAGCGAAGCAAAGGAGGCAACTTCACGGCAGTGGTCCGATGGTGGCTTATGACTGCAGCCGCTCGGAGAACTACCGACATGCAATGCTGACTGTGCCTCCTAGTTGCTTTCCATCCTCTGCCATCACAACGAAGTTCCGCTTCTTCAATGTTAACTCCTTTCGGTAGTGTTCACCCCGGCTTGACCAAAGCTACCTACCCTCCAACCACACTGGGATCAAGACCAAGAAAGTTTTGCCGGCAAGGCTCGCTGACACACATTGCACAGGTTCGTACACTCACCAACGACAGACAGCCAAGCGCCGAGTGCGCATATATCGACGTTGCTCCACGGTTCAACGAGGTTTTGCACAGTACCAACACTCCCACATTGCCGTGAACTTCGCTTTTGTTCCATCAATCATATGTCCAAACTCCTCTGCGGCGTCACCTATCCATGCCAGTACACCGAATCGGAAGCCATTCACGGCGCGTTTGTACCCCAAGAGACAGCTAGCTCTTGAGACCGGTCACCTGGCTGGTGGTACCAAACCTCGGTGTAACATCCTATATCAGCGACTCTTGATGATGTTTAAGGACATTGGGCTGGAGAAAGAGAGCGCCCTTTAGTGTATCGCATCCCCAAATCCCAACGCCCTTTCTCCCAAGTCTCTCGACTGTAGCTTGTACTCCACGAAGAATGAGCGGCATCTCTTGGCCAGACGTACATAGCAACGAACACACAAACAGCCGTGTGTGATGCCTGTCAACAGTCAACATTCGGTGAACATACACCCACTCGAATTGCCTGCATCTTCCATGTTGAATTCTACTTCCGTGTCGCTATTTCTATCCTTAGCCTGCTGTATCCCTCCTGCCCGGATACGGCACTATACTTGTTTATTGCCATGTTCCAGACCCCGTCTCTAACCAATTTGTAGCTCAACTCGGCACCATAACAAACTCAAACACCAAGCTTCTCGTTCAGAGTCTGGATGAACGCACACCGCTTAAGCAACTTCTCCCTTTCCATCAGCGCCGCCCTCTTTTTCCTCACCTGTTCCGGGTTTTTAGCCGCTGCCTCTTCGGCTTCATCCTTCTCACCCATCTCCCCATACTCCACTCCCTCTCCCATCATCGGCTTCTGCATGCTCCCTAGATCCTCCTGGCCCTCAACAAGTCCATGATGTCTGACCTTACAGCTTCCCGTCCCCACCGGCCCACCAATAACATGCACATTCAGACCCCGTAGTTCTTCCAGCCCTTTGGCGGCAACCCCATCTTCAAGTTCAGGCCCGCCAAACGCCTCGGGCCACTCCCACCCTTCTTCTCCCTCTTTCTGGTTGTCCTTGGAACTAGAACTCGGATCCCCCGTCGCAGCAAACCTCACAAACGCCCCCGCCATCTCTTTCGCCAACTCCTTATCCTCCTCTGAACAAGCGTCGTCCAACTCCGGAAAGACGCCATTAAAGATATAGTTGGTATCACTACCATGCACCGCGCCCAGATACGGCATCCCGGCCCTGCTAAACAGCGGGGTCAACATACTTTGGTTGAGCGTGTACAGTCTCACTCCCGCAAAGTTGTCGGGGTCCTCGGCGTATGAAGCGCGGGAGACATGGTACCCAAAGTCAATAGAGGAGCAGGTGAAGAGCAGGTCGCGCAACATGCGCGAGATGCGGAAGTAGTGGATGGGTGCTTCGGGGTCGTCAGCGGATTTGCGAGCGAGGTAAGAGAGGTATTCCGGGGTGAAGTCGGATTCGGGGTACAGAGAGAAGAGGGTGGAGATGTCGGAGGGAGTGAGTGAGGAAGGGCCGGTGAAGGCGTGGAAGGCGGGGATCATGGATTCTTCAGAGGTAAAGAGGTGCGCTGGGCCGGCGTTGGTGGCACCGTCGTCTTGGGCCCAACCGAGGATTGTGGGGATGCCTTCACATGAGATGTTAGTGACGGACGCGAGAGGGAAAAAAAGAGAGAGAAAAGAATGGAAACGTACCCTTGACGAATTTGCCAGACTGGTAGAGAACGGATTGCCGGTCCGGGATAAAGTCATCATCAATGGACGGAATAAAAGTAAACAAGCCAGCAGGCGGGTGATTCTCAATCGAGTACGCCATCGCCTTCTCCGTCAGCTCATCCATAGGCACCTTCCTCATACACTCCAACACCTCCTCGTCCCCCTTCTCGACATCACAACCCACCCGCTCGGCAACCATCCTCGTGTGCTTCTCCGTCTCCTCACTCGTCATATTCAGCGCCGTCCCCGGCGGTCCACTCATCATCCACGCCCTCGTGAACGGCGCACCCTTGGCTCCTCCGTACGCAACCATCTGCAAACTCGTAAACGTCCCGCCAGCGCTCAACCCAAACGCGGTAACCCTTTCCGGGTCTCCGCCGAAATGGGCAATGTGATCTCTAACCCATTCCAGCGCCGCCCTTTGGTCGCGCATCCCCAGATTCAGGGACTTCTGCTCCTTGAGCAAAGGAAGTCGCGGGAACCCAAAGATGGTAAGTCGATAATTGATAGCGACATAAATCACCGGCTCGCCCATCTCCACACTCAACGCCAACAGCTTATCAGGGTTGAAGTGAGGATCATACGCCGACCCTTTGACTACCCCGCCGCCATGGAGGTGCACGACCACTGGCAGCTTGGCGTCTGCCGTGGTGCCTGCAGGGCGGGAGATGCGCAGGTTGAGACAATCTTCGCTGATCTCGTCAGTCATGGAGAAGAAGGGAGGGATGGCGGGGAGAAGTTGGGGACATGCTGGACCGGGAGAGGTGGCGTCGATGGTGCTCCCGGAAGAGGGGAGAAAGGGGGTAGGAGGGGAGAAGCGGGGGGCCTCGGCGAAGCGGATGTTGAGAAAGTGTTCGATCTTGGTGGTGGTTTCTGACGATTTGGGTCCGACGGTGGTGATGGTGCCCTTGTAGGAGAGGTTGTTGATGGGGTCTTTGACGATGGGCGCTGTGTCTGTCGCGAGGACAGCAGAGGTTGCCGCGGCTAGGCCGAGGAGGACCGCTTGGAGCGGTTGGAGTGCGGCTAGCATTGTGGCTCTTTTGGTTTGGTTGAGTTCGTTGCTTGTGGTGGCGTTCTTCAGGGAAGGTAGTGAGGATGCATTGAGGTGCTTCAAGCTGTCAAGCTGTCAAGCTTCTTGGCAGGTGGTTTGCTTGATGGCGCAAGAGAGTGGTGATGATGACAAGATCTCTTGTTGACTTTGTCCCACAATTAAAGACGCGGAATATTATTGACATGTGTCAAAGAAGGAACGAGTAAGAGGGGTTCGCGCGTCAATCGTAAACGACTGTCAGGGCGAATGAAGGGAACACGAATCGATGGAGGAGAGGTCCGGCGGCACCAACGGCAGTAACTCAAGTGGGATTAACTGCGGGGAAGTGTTAGTCATTGACCCTTCAAGGCAAGTACTAGACTGATTGCTGACTTTTGATCTGAGACAGCAATGGGATGCAAACTGAAATCAACAGTTACATCCAAAAATCCCCAACGTCGCCAACGACATGTCTGTTGCAGAACGGCAATGGTTGCGATTCATCAGTCAGCCAAGCAATTCGTCCCTGCAAGAAGCATCTTCCGAGTCCGATAAGTGGAGTGATTGGCCGATCATTCGGATGATGTGCAGCGTAATCGCAAATGTAACCGGAGTCCAAGACCGGGAGTTTGTCAAAGTATGGATACTATCACTCGTAGAAAATCCCCCGCCTGTGGCTTACATATTGGGTTGGGTGCAATAGCTCCTCACAAAGCCACCGGCTAAGCATTCCGCATGCCCCGATAGTGGTTCCCGATGCTCTGCCGGGTTGCATTATTCGCTTGAACCGTGGGTAAATGCAACATAACAAAGGTCTGGCTGACGATGATCCCTTCGCTCTTTTATCCGACTTTGATCCCACCCGCATGCGTAGACTAGACTACTGTGTATTGCTGTGCCACATCCGCGATAGAAATGGTGGGGGGTCGCTGAGGTGCTCCGTCTACGCCGCAATGAAGCAGCTTTTGTGGTCTTTGTGTCCATATAAAAACGGCCCGATGTCCGCCCCCCTCATTTTGGGCGGTTTGTCCCCTTGCTGACCATGGTTCGCTGCTGCAGCAGTGTGGTATTTGTCCTGTGGTTCGCGTGTATGCATTGGATGAATGGTTTCAAGGGAGGGTACGGGGTCGTTGTGAGGGGCTGACGGCAGATATTATAATGTACTGAGTAGTAGCAGGCAGGCAGCCCAAGATTTTCGTTTCGTGTAACCATCCCGCACGCCGGACACGGCAGCATGTATTGCTACTCAAGAGCAGCGTGATGGTGGGTGAGCGTGCGTCGGCCGAAGGTTGGAGTAGGGAGGACTGTAACATGCCCGGACCAGAGACCATGCTGGGAAGTAGAAGGGTCGAGGGTACTGCTGTGCAACGGCACGGGCAAAGACGGGAATGGCTGGCATCAGCTGTCGGCACATATTGCCCTGGTCGCTTACTCTTGACCAGGGAAGGCTGGAGAGGATCAGGTCTGTACCTTTTGGCTCGCGGAATGGTGAAATGGACGGAATGAAACCCATAGTGATAAGGTAGCGATTCCCGTTGAGGCTAACACCTCGGTGTCCTGTCCATGAATTGGGCTCAAGTCATTGCCAACAACAGATCAAACAGCCCTGAGCCATCATGTCCCAACCACAACTCTCACCTCCCGAGTATGACAGCCCGGGCGGCTTGATCGCCGGGTCTGTCATCATGTGGATTATCTCAACGCTCTGTGTTGGCTTGAGATTCTACTCCAAGAGGTGGAAGCGACAAGGCTACATTACGGCCGACTGGCTGATTTTGGTAGCTGCAGTCTTTGCAACCGGAATGACCGTGATGGAGATCTATGGTAAGTGAAGACGCCGACCATCTCTGCTTTGCTTGGACGCAACCTCTAACGAGAAAACAGGCGTGAAGGAACAAGCTTTGGGATATCCACTAGGGGCATCGATCGAAGACCCCAAAGCAGTCAACGGACGTCTGAACAAGGCCAAACATGTGCGTTGTCTTACTTATCCATGCCTTGCTCTGTCCCATTCTAACCGACAGTTGCTCAGATCGAACTCTCGTTCCTGCTCCTCGGTATCGCCACTCTCGGCTTGATCAAGCTGTCCGTGTGCTTCCTGTTCTGGCACCTCTTTGCCCGGGTGGTGTTTCGTCGTTTCCTCATGGTCTGGATAGCCGTCATTATTGTATGGACTCTGTCCTTTGTCCTGGCTGGCCTGCTAGAATGCGGTTCCCATCTCAAGGCATTGTTTGGACAACCACAAGCGTATTTGGATCACTGTGGAAGCGCCATCCCGACCGGATATGCCATGGTGGGCAGTGATGTTGCGACCGACTTTATCACACTGCTCATCCCCATTCCCGTGATCTTCAGCATGAAGATGGACAGGCGTACCCGATTCTTGACGCTGCTGACCTTTATGATCGGTGCCCTGTGAGTCTTGTCAATCGAGCTTGTATAGTGGCAGCCAGGCTAACATTTGGTGACAGGTCTGTGGGTGCGTCCATCGCCAAAGCCTACATCTACATCAAGGCCAGCTTGGGTCTGTGGACGTCTGATGCTATCTGTAAGCTCCAGTGTCCCCTATCCTATCCGATTTGATAGCTAACGCAGTGATATAGCCATGCTCACGGGTCTCTCCATCTGGAATCTGGCTGAGGTCCATATCGGTATTGTTGCTGCATGCGGCCCTACGCTGCGACCCATCCTGGCACGCATCTTACCAACCGAGAGCCTCCTGTCCCTCATGTCCCTGTTGGGAGTAAGCTCGAACACGTCCAAGCAGAACGAGCTCCCCAGCTTTGTCAAGATGCCGGATGCCGACAGTGCTGAGCAGTTGCAGCCCGGGGTGGAGAAGGTTGGGTCTAAGGGTGCCGATGGGCCTCGTGGAGTTCGGCAGTACGAGATGGAATCATGGAACGACGCCGAGTCCGAGAGACGTGGTCCCCATCATGTCTGAGGAATGGGTGTTGTCGAGTATCGAGCGTAGCAATCTGACTGTAGCCATCATCGTGTCAAATTGGTCCAGCGGCCGAATGCCGAGGTAGCGTTGAAGTTCATCATCGTCTTTGCTTTGCGCAGTCAAATGACTGAGTGATTAATCCTTGAGCTCTGGTTTCCGAGCGGATGCCGGATGTAAATCTCGCGATGGAATGGTTTTCTGGCTAAACGAAGATGGTGTAATTCCACCACAGGTCCCCGCACTAACAATTAAAAGATCTGGCACGTGCACTAAAGCTAAGCCACTGAAGCCATCTCACTGCAAGCCATTCCTTCCGTGGCGTCGAATCGGCCTGCTTTACCCCGGCTTAAACGGCAAGATCAGAGGCACAGAAGGGAGGCGCACCTGCAACCACTGGAAATTGGATGTCATTCCGACTTTTGACTTTGTTTGCGAAATTCGACGACGGCATGATCTGAGCAATCAGCCTCACCTTTCCAATCTCGTCTCGACTCCACAATCTCAACGTGCGCATCGTTCTGGACTCTTGTGTGGGCTCTGTTGCTCTAGGGCTTGACCTGTTAGTGATCTTCCCAAGGTTCAATACAAATCAAGGCAAAGCGCTAACAGGGCGTGGTAGATCATACAAGGGGCCAATTCGATCTTGGTGTAGGCAGCTCATCCTCCATTCCTTCCAGGCAACATCATCGACGACAAACAATCTTCTTTTCCACCGATATCTCGGATCGGCCTTGATTCCGTCCATACGGACACAGAAAGATGAACAGCCTCCATTTCCTCCGACTCTTCATCTAGTGTACACGACGGCGGCTCAGCTGTCATCAGGCGCCGAGCGAGTACGGATCTGGCCGCGCTATTGACCGCGCTATCGTTTTTGACCACGCCAAGTTCCCTCATGGAAAGCTTGTTAGTCCCCACGTCTAGTGACCTACACGTGTGTTTGCCCGTCTTCCAACTATCCGGGAACATGTAAACACAGTACTAGTCCTCCTGGGGATGGGCTGAGGTGGGTTAGCGGGAAATGGTCGAGACTCGTCCAGCTGAAAGGAGATGCACCATCGCGGATAGCTCGTGTGGCGTCCTATCACCACCAGCACACGGAAATTACACATGGACTGACTTCAGCCCTCAGCCGCGCTCCTTGCTTCTGCCACCCGTTCTGTCGTTGATCCTATGTGTGAATAAAAGGGTTCCAATGCCATACCAAAACAAAAGGGGTCGACACAGCCAACCGTGGATCCGGGATTCGACAAAAAGAGGTTGACGTCTCAACACACTCGCTCACCACTCACTCCAGTCATTCTTTAACGAGACCACTTTGGTTGTTATCATGAAGCAAGCTTTGTTCCTGGCCTCGGGCTTTGCCTGGCTGAACCTGGCCTCGGCCGCCTGCTGTCGCAGCAACAAGTGCTTGAAAGGTACGATTGCTTCCAGTAAGATATTGTCACAAGAAATACTAACCAAGATCTTCTCACAACAGCCATTGTCCTGAACCAACATGGAATTGATGACTGCGCCTCGGTCTTTGTCGAGACTGTGTCGGCCCCGGCCCGCATCGTGACCGAAACCGTCACTGTGTCCTCTACCCAGTATGCCACCGTCCTTGGCACCGAGATTGTCACCGAGATCGAGTCAACCACCGCTGCCACCGAGACGGTCTTTTTCACCGAGAGTTCTTCCGTTACCGCTGGTACCGAGACAGTTATTCAGCTCACAACCGAAACGACCATTGCCAGCACCGAGACGGTCTTCCAGACCATCACCGTCCCTGCTCCGACCGAGAAGAAGCGCGACATCGATACCTTGACGTTTGTGGAGCCCACCAGCTCGGCCCCGGTCGAGCCTGCTCCAGTTCAGTCTTCTCCGGCGCTCCCCGAGTATGCCTTGGACTGTCCGTCCTTCAATAAGTACAAGTCGGCTTGCAAGTGCATCGGTGCTGAGATCGTAACCGTCACCGTTCCTGTTCCTATTTCAACTGTTACTGTCGAAGAGACCACTGTAAGTTCTCACCATGTCGGGACTCGCAGGGGAACCAAGCTGACTTGACTTCTTAGACCGTTTCTGCCTCTGTCGCTGCCACCGTTACCACTACGGAAACTGAGTTGGTCTCAGTGACGGCCACAGCCTCGACTACCGTGACTGCTGTTGTGGATGATGTTGAGACGGTCACTGCCACTCAGACCGATGTTGTCTCCTTCACTGCTACTGTCACCGCGATCGAGACCGCGACCTTGGCCCCCGAGCCCGTGCAACCCGTGTGTCAAATCAACACCGGCGCCTTCCGTGCAATGACCACCTTCAACAACAACGACCTCTACATGTACGCCAACATGCTGAACGGCCTGACCGGTGGCCTGGTTTGGCAAACTGGCAGCACCAACCCCTCCCCGGCTATCCAGCCCCGGTACAACTTTGCTCTTGATAGCGAAGGCTCTCTGTACCTTCACGACAAAATTGCTCCCTATACCTACACATACTATGTCTATATCTCGACCGCCAATTCGGGAAGCAACTGGCCCCAGGTAAACACCAAAGAATCTATCGAAAGCGCAATTGCACAGGGTGGCCGGATTAGCAAGATCAAGGGATGCGTTAATCCCGCCACTGGTGAGCTCACGCTTCAGGATTCCATCGGAAGACAGAACATTCTCTGGTGCGGCTCACAGGTCTGGTTGTCTGCCGGCCTGGGTGAGGATGTCAACCGTGGTGGGGCGTGTGTCCAGCAGTTCCCCAAGGTCGTCCCGCCATATGGGCAGTAATTTAGGATACTTGCACATTCGGCATGCGGGGTGCGGTGCCGGACGTTCGGCCGACCATTTATCTACAACCGTCTGAATAGAAACTCAATGTTACTGTGTCTATATCATTCCAACTGAACCCAACCCTCGGTTTTGACAGCTGTCGACATGCATCCCATTGTCCCGTACCAAGATGATGCATTCTCACTCCCTGTTGATGAACAAGTGGCCAGCAGGTATAAATACGCAACTCTTGTCTATAGCCCAAAGGTTTATGAACCCGCCCGCGTACGAACGACCAACCAAAACATTAAACCACGCCAGAAAAAAAAGCCAACATCTTCCATACCATTACATTCTCATCTCATGGCGCCCACAATCTTTCTCCTCCACTTCCCGCCGCCTGTACCTTCAACCATCTTACATTCCTCCTCTTCTTCTTCTTCCTCTCTCCTTCCTTTCTCTCTCTCTCATCCAAATTGACCGACTTATTCTATTCTGAAAAAAAGAAAAAAGACCGATACCTCCCTAGAGGCACCTACCCCTCCAACGAAGCAATCCTCCTCCACCCTTCATTCCCCACCACCACACTACCCCCTTCCAACTTCTCAAACCCTTTTCCATTCGAAGCCTCCGCCTCCTTCTTGATCGTCTTATCCCACTTCCCCATTGCCATCTCCACCAAGAACTTTCCCAAATGTTCCGTAGGACTCCACATCTTCTTGTACCCCACTCGGATGGGCGGTCCCAAAACACAGTTGCTCAAAGTATAAAGGCCGAACACTTTGGGGATGTACGGGTGGATCGCCGGGTGGGCGGCCGCGTCGATGAAGGCGGGGCGCATAGAAAAGGGTAGGAAGGTGGGACTAGAAAGCTGGGAGAGGGCGAGTTCGGCTTGGCCTTTGATGATGGCGAACCAGGGGGTGGTGAGTCTTGATATGAGGGGTTTGGAGGAGAGAGGGGTGGTGGTGGTGCCTTCGCCGGAGACGTAGATGAAGCGGAAGGGTTCCTTATTTTGGTCGGGAGAGGAAGAAGAAGAAGAAGGGGAAAGGGTCTGGAAAGAGGCGGCGGCGGCGAGGGGAAAGTCTTTGGTGATTTTGACGTATTCCCTTTGTTCCCACCAGTGTCAGTCTTGAGGTTTTGGGAAGCAGAAAAGAGGGCAAAGAAAAAAACATACTCCTTGCCAACGGCATTCTGACTGATTCCCAGCGCCCAAACACATCCCGTTGCACCCTGGAGCTGGTTGAGGAGCTCACTGTCGTACTTCTCGAAATCCTTGTGAAGAATGACGTTGATGCGCGGGTCCTTGGCGTCTTCGGCCATCTTGACGGGTCGTCGGCTGATGATGGAGATCTTGGTGATATCTTTGGTCTTGATCATGGCGTCTAGGACGGCGGAGCCTACGAGGCCGGTGGCGCCAGTGAGGATTAGATGCATGATGGATTGGTGATTTTGGTGTGCTTGCAATGCAATGGGTTAAGAAGGACAAGGGAGAGGAAACAGAGGGTTCAAAGGACGGATGGGAAAGAACCATCGAGCTATATATCATTGCCGGCAACTCTGAAGCGGCTGACGGGAAATGATGCTATCTAGCACTGCCTGGCATTGCCCCATCGTCGTCGCTCCTTGATTCTGACATAAGCCCGAAGCCGTATCGAGAATCGTGCCTTATCTCCTTTTATCCAATAAAATCTCTTGTCTTACCTCCGGACTCCGCGGTTGCAATATCCCGGAGCGGGCCGGAGCGGATTTGCGGCCGCATCACCGCAAGGGTGGAGTAGCAGTGGAGTACACAACCCCGGGTCGACTGCCGATCCAGCGGCTCAGGGGCCGCGTGGACCCCACTGTTAACGACAACAGCAATCAAAGCCCTTGACCATCTCGGGCGGTGTTGACGACGACGACGACGACGGCTAGGCCCTTCCAATCGTCCATGCCCTTTCCACAGCCACCTTGACTCCGTTGGGTTCGCATCTCGCCAACGCTCCGAACGGGATAAAGGCGATGTACTTGACCCTGGTGCTCACGTCCCTCTCCTCTGTCGTCAATTTCAGCTGTCCCATTTTCTCGTGCCATCGCGGGTCGATCAACGGTTTTCCAGTCTTGTCCACCTTTGGTTCCCACTCGGGAGGATCCTCATCGTCTTCCTCATCGATGCTTTTCGATGCAATTTCGATCCGCAATGGCACTGGCGATTTCCTGATTGCCAGTTTCAGATCCACAGCCTGCTCGCAAAGCTGCTCGATAATCTTTTCAACCATTTTCTTGTTCCGCGCAAAGGTGAAGTTCATCAAGGGCTCAAGGTACCCAATCAATGTTTGGGCCGCGCTCTTAGCTTCAACCGTCAAGATCCCGTTTCGAAGTTGCTTGAAGAGATTGATGTTGACCGCTCGCCATTTTGCTTCGCCTTTGTGTCCCACTGTCGTATCTCATTAGCGTCCCATACCCTCAAAAGTCAAGATGGATAACATACCTTTCTCATGCCTCATCAAATACCCCTCGATATCCTCCAACTGCCTCTCTACGCGCCTCGTCTCCCCGCGTTCATCCACCTCCCCATCCAGCTCCGCTCCAAACGTCCTATGCCCGGGCCTCAAAATCCTCGAATACAACACCTGAAACACAGCCGCCATAACCAAAAACCTCCTCACCTCCACCGACGCGTTCCCAAACAGCTGCTGATCCGGCACCCACGGCAACCGCATAACATCCACCTCCATCACCTTCGCCTTCTTTGTTTCCAATTGTATTGCAGAACTGCTCACAAACTCCCACACCTTCGCTCTGACCTCTATGAACATTCTCCTCACCCTCTCCACAGCCATCTCCTCCCCTTTTTTCTCTCCCTCCAGCCCCTCTTCCCCCTTTTTTTCTCCAACCGCATCATCACCGAATACATCCCCCCAATACCCCCCCTCCCGTTCTCTCACCAACCGTTCAATCTCCCTCTCCCGTTCTTTACACACCCTCTTCGCCTTCCTCACTTGTTCCTCCAACTTTTCGAAATCCAACTGATACGCAATCCGTATCCGCTCCCTCATCCTCTCCAGTGCCTCCGCCGCATTCAGCTGCACCATCTCCTCGACCTTATTCAAATGCGGCACCAGCCGTCTTTTCAACGTCCTTGCCACTGCCTCGTCAATAGTGTGGTACAGCGCCGGTTCGGAGAGTGGTCGCTTGTTCTTATTGTTGTTCTTCGGGGGGAGCCGAGCAAGTTCGGCTTTGGAAGAGCACGGACTGCCGTCGAGCATGATGATGTCTGATGACGCGTTGCTACCGTCTGAGGAGGCCGAGGTGTTTCTTAAGCCGGAGTCTGGATTGTGATTAGTGTCGTCGTCATCATCGTCAGAGGACGAGGAAGGGTGGAGGACGGTGCCGTCGACAAAGTCCCCTGGTGTTGTGCGCCAGTGCGCCGGCTCCTTGTTCCATTTTACCCTCTTGGTTGGGCGTGGGGTGATTTTCGTGGTGGAGGGCATTGGGATGTAGGGGAATCGGATGAGTTTGCGACTTTGGGTCAGGGGCATGCAAAAGAGAGGGACGCGCGGGGGTTCGAACTCGTTGTAATCAGTCGCGTTGGGGGATGGGTACCGGCGTTTGGCACCGCGGTTGGCGGTTGGGTTGAGCATTGAATAGCTTGGTCAGAGACGGTGATGTTGAGATTGAAGCTCATGTGATGTACCGAGTTTCGGCGAATAACAAAATCTTTTCGGATGCGATGCAGGATGACACTGTTCTTGACCGAGCCTGGGAGAGGTTCCAGTTCCTCGTGGCAGGTAAGTAGTATGTGCACACGTGTGAAGAAAGCGAAGTCAACGAACAAGGAAATAGTGCAAAGTTCGGCTTATATAGATGGATCCCGTTTCAGATCTGGGCTTTGTTCCCTTTGTTGTGATGTATGCCTCAGACTTGCCCTTCAGGGGCATCAAAGATGCACAGACGGTTTAGGAAAGGGTTGACTTTCCAGGTGCCGCTGTTAGCATTCCATTGTCTAGCTGGACGGCAGAGGCTGAGATTTGCGATGCGATTCCGCAGTGCGACTGGCGGTCTGCCTGATACCCTAAATATCATCGTCACTGTCATATGCAGTATGTGGAAAACAGACTCAATCTCGCTCTACGTCAACTATGGTGTGGAGGTTGTGGACCTTTGAGCAATAAGGACCTGTTGTTCCACCTACGTCCCTCTCATCATCCTCCTGGTAGCACCATGAGTTGATGTCCCTGCAAGAGGCCATGCCTTGGAGCCAAGTATCCACCTTGAAGGTATTGTTGAGTTCCACTCGCTTGCCACTGTTTACATCCCGGGCTCAAGCGCTAGCCTTGGATGATTGTCAACATCTTTTACGGAATCAGAAGGAGGTTTCGGAAGTTATACCTCTGCATTCTGCGGCTGCTTTTTCTCGTCTTTCTGCGCTTTGGTCTTGCGCTTGCCTGCACCACCCATTGGGCTAGGCATCTTTTGAGCTCCAGACGCGAAGCCGGTGTCGGAAGTTGAGGAGACAAACAGCGAGTCTACTCCTCCGTCAGTATCGAAGAACATGATCATGGGATGATCGGACTTACTACCGGTAAACTTCATCCCGGTAAAGCGCTTGCATGTGTCCATACCCTTCTGGAGCACCGTAAGCTGCTTGTTGAGCTGTTCTCGTTCAATACGGCTATCCTCGGATTCTCCGGCGATGATGGCAATCTGCTTGGAGTCCATTCCGAAGATTGAGACGGGAGACAGAATACTCTCAAGAGGGTCAATCAGCTTATCTTCGATCACCTGGGCTGCCACATCGTCGATGAAACGCTTCATTGCTACCTGGAACTCAGTGTAAGTGGATGTTGACATATGCACTGGACAAATGGCATAGTCATAGCTCATACCGTATAGTAGGCGTTGAGGCAACTCAAGGCTTCTTGAGCCGCAAAACGTTCCGGATTCTGTTCAGTGCGTGCTAGTGCATCCACTAGTTCCTTGATGTTGGTTCCACTGTGACCCGAGTAAGTTTTTCCACAGTTGGAACAATACCCATTTGTCTGGTGATGAATGTCTGTTTCCGTGCATTGGGCGCTGAAGAATGAGCGTACTGCCTTTTCCAGCCTCTTCTTCGACTGCTCCTCTCGGGCAGTATGGAGCGCATCTGTGAAGGACTGGTTGTATGTGATAGGATGGCCACTCTGGTGCGGTGTCAGAAGCTCACTGGCCTTCTCCATCATATCAGTAAGAATTCCATCCATAAACGGTCCAAAGATTTCCTTCTTCAAGGACTTCAAGGTCGAAGCGTCCGCGATATGGGCAATGATGAGATCAAGAAATTGATTAGCAGCCTCCCAAGCTCTTTGGACATGTTGACGAGCCAAATCACCCCATGGCCGAGCTTGCTCCAGGAAAAGATCCGAAACAATCATAGGGTTGAAGGTACCCGGCAGCTCCCGACCTTTGGTACGCTTCAAGAGATACTCAATATGCTCGATGAACTTCTCTTCAGAAATCAAGACCATCTTGTTACCAACAACGCGGGAATGGTATGTCTCAATTGCATAGTGATGACCACGGGACGCAATCTCGTCGGCGAACCTCTCATTGAGGGTTTGTACCACGGCTCGGATTCGCTGTCTATAACCAGTATCGGTCTTGGCGTCCTTGAAGAAGTCGTGGTTGTAAGTGCCATCCACAGCAGCCTTCACAAGTGACTGGAAAGACTGGCTAAGCGTGTACAGGTAGAGACGCTGTTCAGCCTCCTTCGCCCTAGGATCACCGAGCTTCTGAATCTGAGAATTGCATGCCTCAAACTTGGCCTCAATCTCCTCCATCACATTGGGAAGCTCAGAGGCAATTTGTTTGAGTAAAACCTTGCTCAGTCTCTCACGGAGTTTGTCGATGCCAAGATGGGCGAGCGGGAGCTCAGTCCAGGCGCCCTGAGTGAAGAACTGTTGCTCCATGGTGTCACGGTCGACAACGTTCTTGGCTTCCTTATCGGAATCCTTGTTTCGGAGTACATGCCACCCAAGACGAAATTCGACTTCCTGATTCTTGGCAAGATCGACGTACTGCTTCTCACTCTCGGACCCAGGATGTAAAGCATCAGGCTTGGTGATAATACCGAGAGTGCGATGACCGGGGGGGTCGGCCGCGCGAGCCAGCTTCAACACCACCTGGTTTGCGAAGTCGTTTTTTGCCGAGACGACTGCTAAGATGATACTCCTGGGTTCGTTCATGTAAGACCGGACGACCTTTTGGATCAGTTGGACATCCGCGGCAGTTTGGTTTTTCGTTTCCGAATGGATGAGACCGGGAAGATCAACAATAGTAAGATGTGGACGATCAGGACCAGTGATCTCAACACGAAGGCGATGGTTGGAAAACGCCTTGCCTTGAGTCGTCGAGATTCCCATGTAGTTCTTGGCCTTCTCGATAATATCCGGCAGGTGGTCGAAGGAGGTCATCTTCTCCTTGAAGGCAGACAGGGCCTTTTGCTCAGTCGCGTTGGCGTCTTCATGAGGTACAATGGAAACATGAGCGCTTATGTCGAGGGTGCGGCGCAAAACGACTTCCGTGGGAAAGCGAGTGCACAAGTTCGCCTTGATAGGAAAAGCGACGCCAGAGATGGCCTCCAGGACAGAGCTTTTGCCGGATGACTGATCACCGCAGACAATGATTTGCGGCAATGAGACATAGTTGTTGATGCCCTCCAGACGGAGACGATCGATGGCATCCAAAAGTTCTTGCTGATCCTTGGAGCACAACTTGCTCAAGGCACCACTCTGGAAGGTTACCATCTCTTCGGCCAGACTGTGATCGTAGGGAGAGGCAGGGGAGACTGAAACGACGGTAATTATTTCAAGAGTGCTGTTCGGTGTTGGGACTGAGAGGGTAAGACTGTGAAGGGTGTTAAGAGGGTTGATGGTGCGGTGTCCTTGTGCTTCATCGTCTGAACCCGTCTGGACGGAGCAACTCTTAAGTAGAAGACTTCCAGAGAAACCATGCTCTGTTGGCAGCCCATTAAAATCAATCCTCAAACGACGGACGGAGAGACACCGCGGAAGTGTTAGCAACCGATGCAAGTAGCTGGATCCAGTTACTGCTTGCAGGAGACGTGCTCATCCGAGTGACTGTCAGGCTTTGATGCTTTCAGACCAAACTTCGTTGGTCCTCCTGAAGCCCCAATGTCCTCTCGCGCCTGCTCCGACGGTCACTACAAACACTTATCAGCGGATCAAACGGACTTTGAAGCCAGCAAGGCCGCAAAGAAGACAATTGGCGCATTAGTACCCTTGTAAATGTTAGGGGACGGATGGAATGAGACATGGCATATTGGGCCTCCGGCGTTGAGGATAAGTATTATCCCGTACTGGAGTGGCATCGAATTCGGAGCTAAACGTTTCCTTAGGTATGAAAGAGAGAGCAGATGCACAGCTGTGTACCAAAAGGACAACAAGGCACACCAGCACTGGAAAATGTCATAAACGCGTCTCATAGTCCTCCTAAGTCGCAACAAATGTCAACTCGAAAAGGTCCGCGTGATATACAACCTACGAGACGCTCCTCGGCTTATTGTGTAGCTTGGTACACCCCTATCCATACGACTCTGGACGCAACGACATTGGCCAGGCTCACGTTCCATATTCACTATATGCCTTGTGCCTTTGTGGCTTGCAATTTCGGGCCTCTTACATCCAAGTGGGGACAGTCGACATTAACCAAACACCCCTCCCGCACAGAAAAGTTGAGATGGCCAAAATTGTCCTCTTTGAACGATGGAAGGCGGTCCAGCCCTAACTGAAAAGACTTTGGGGCTCTTGTTCGCGATTAGTCCTCTCCGGGTTCTCATCGGATCAGGCTGATGTAGGTCGGCTGGGGAAACTCGGTCGCAGCTCTGCGACGACGGTGTTGAGTGCAAGGTCTCTGTACAGATAATCGAGCCTGGTGTCAGTGTAGGCCGGAGATACTCCCTAGCAAGGATTCAGAGTGCGGATAATGTGGGCCTAGATATCGTCCAAATTCCCGAATTCTGTTTTGCGGGAGGCACTGTCGAGCCAGGCAATCATCTGATCGCTTCGAACCGAAAGTCATCAGCGCACTTGAGCAGTCTCAAACTCCAGACCTCACTTGATGAACGGGATGCCAATGCTGTGGGCCCTTGGGCCTTCAAAATCGAGCCTAAAGCCAACAGATAACCGGATAAGGAGGTGTCTTACTTGGAAATCTACCGATTCCGGGGAAAACTCCAAATGCTACCGGGAGTTGCTTGATCGCGACTTGAGAGTTCAGGGGATGGGTAGCATATTCTTTTGGACGCCGCAGCCGGAGCCTTTTGCCAGTGACTTGAGCTATAACGGGTGAGTTATGGGCTGTCGCCGTCGGGAATTTCGGTTGAGGTTAGAGCCACGAGGGATCGCGGGATGACATGGGTAAGGGATGGTGTTGCTTGGTACCAGTAGCTCGAATGCTACGCTGCTCCCGCTGTGCGGGCAGAATGCTACGGTATACAACCAACCCTGATTTGGTTGTTAGCGCGGGACTTCTAAACGCACTCTTCGCAACTCTGTCGCAGGAACCGCGCTAACAACCAAACTAGGGTTGATGTTACGTCATCCTGGCTTGTTGCAATCTTCCACCCAACCCTTGGAAAAACCTG